GGACTTCTCCATCATTGCGCTGGAGGGTGAGTCGGCCGCTCGGCCTGGTGGCGAGGGGGCAAGGGGAGGGTCTCCCCGTCCTGTGCCCCCCACACTCCCCCGGGTGCACCAGCGCTAAGAGGAGAGTGCAGCCCCCTCTTTAGACCCGACTGCCCCTCTCCAGGGCCCTGTGTGCTGGCTAGTGATCCCCAGGACTGGGTCCCCCCGTCTGCATCCTGTCTGGCAAGGTCTGCCCGCGTGCAACCCCAGCACGCCCAGTGCTCTGCCCAAGTGCCTGCTGCGCCCGCGGTGCTTCCCGTCCAGTGCCCGTGCGATGCGGCCGAGTTCCGCCCAGCACCGACATGCAGCCAGCTCTGGGGGCCGTTATTTCACAGCACCCACTGACGCGGGCCAGCATTTCAGGAGAGGGGGAAGAATTCCCGCCTGCAGGAGGAGCGGGGTGAGATGGAAGGGAGGAGCCAGGAGGGGCCGTCCCTTAGCGAGGCCCAAGGGCGCTTCCAGTAACCAGGACTTCGGGGTGTAGGCTGCTGTGGTAACTGCAGGGAGCGGCCTGCAGCAGGGCCTGTCCCACGCAGGCAAAATGCCCTGCGGAGATGGAGATGGGGAGCGAGGCCCTGTCTAGATGGGGCAGCCCCCTTTCTCCAAGGCAGCCTCCTTCCTCTGCCTTGGAGGGTCTGCCCCCCTCAGTCACGCTTGGGCCCGCCCTGAAGCCCTGACCTGCCCTCCCCGGTGTGTCTCCCTAGACGGGACCCCCCGGATCGTCTCCTCCTTCAGCGAGAAGGTGGTGAACCCGGGCGAGCAGTTCTCCCTGATGTGTGCCGCCAAAGGCGCTCCTCCCCCCACCATCACCTGGGCCTTGGACGACGAGCCCGTCGCCAGGGACACCGGGCACCGCACCAGTGAGCCACATGAACGTGACCGGCCCGCAGATCAAGGACGGAGGGGTGTACCGGTGCGCCGCGCGGAACTCGGTGGGCAGCGCCGAATACCAAGCGCGAATAAACGTAAGAGGTGCCTGTCTACTTTTCAATATCAGCATAGGGCTCGTACCGGGCTTTGTTGTGTTCTGCTTCGGTTCCCTGGTAGACTCTCTTCTTTTGGGGCGTCCCACCCCCTCCCCCACGGCCCCGCTGCACTGCCAATCGTCAGCACACACGTGGCGGAGCGAACCCTCCCTGCGGCTCGTCTGGTGAGACAGGAGCCTCCGGAACTCATTGCCACAAGCTAACCGTGAGGCCAAAGGCTGAGCCGGAGTCCCAGATGGGGTGTTTGTGGCTGTGGTGGGCATCTAATCCACAGGGAGGCGGGTGCCCCCCCGTGCTGCTCTGCCCAAGCCAGTGAGAAATGGGCAGTCCTGTAATTGTCTGTGGCATCTCTTGCACCCTCCCAAGGCCTCTGGTGCCAGCCACTGTCAGGGAGCCCAGCCCGCCATCCTAAGATGGCCACCCTGCCCCTGCAACATGGTTCCTTGGGAGCTGTCTGGGTCACGGTGCTGACGGAGGACGCCTGGGGCCTGTAGTTCCCTGCTCCACAGGCCCCATTCCAGGGCTCCGTGGCAGAGGCCATAGTCCATCCCCCCGTGTGGGCGCTGTGCCCTGCCACAGCTGTTCATTGCAATTTCCACGTGACAGCTGCACGTCCCGCAGACTGGGGGAGAAGCAAACGCTCAGCGTGCCAGCGTCACGCGCCTGCCCTGCCCTCGGCCGCCCGCTCCAGTGCAGCTCAGTCCGACTCTGCCCCAGCCCTGCTACTGCAGTCTGGGCAGCAGAGAAACCTCTTCCCTCCTGCCCCATCCTAATGCAGTGGGGTGCTGCCTTGCTGCGTGGGCCGCAGCACCCCTGGCTCCGGAGCAGCTCTCGCCAACGGCCCCAACCGCTGCATTTGGGCGGGTGCGGCAGGAGCCAGCTGAATTCTCACTGCAGCCCAGGGGAGATGGGAGCCCAGCTCCCTGGAGGCGAGAGTGAGTGCGCACTCCCCCTCTTTGCTCTGGCCCCGGGGGCCAAAGTGCAGCTGGTGCATGTCTGCCCACTTGGAGAGCACCGCTCCAGCCAGTCCCCGGCCCAGCTGTGAGCTTAGCTTTCCCTGCTTCTGTCACCTGCTCTGTGTCACCTCTGCCCTGCCCTCCTGGTCGCTCTGCCTCTGGCCTCCTTTCCCAGCTCTAAGCGCGCCCGCGGGCCTTGTGTTTCCACCCATCGGTGAGCCGGCTGGGTAGGCGATGGGCCTCGGCTTTATTTTCTTCGTCTGCTGAAACCCAGCGTGGTGTTCATCACTCCCCTTGTCCCGGCTGCGCCCACTGCTGTTTGCCTTCCAGGGACTTGTGGGGGGCAAAATTCCGAGCCCCAAGGTCCAGCATTAGCCCCCGCCCAGTACCAGTGAGCGCTTCCCACTGCATCGGTGTGACTAGACAAAGCCACGAGTCATGGGTCCTGCCATGGGGGCAGGGGACTGGACTCGATGACTCTCGAGATCCCTGCCAGTCCTCGTATTCTAGGATTGTGGGATCTCCCAGGAGCACGTTTGAACGGGCGTGTTCATCCGGGTCTCAGGCCTGCGCTGGGCCTTGTGGCGTTTGCCTGGGGACCGCTGAAGCTGCACGTTGAGCGATCGCGCATGTGCATTCCCGTGTGTGCGCATGGGCCGCGCGCAGGCTTCCTTGGCCTGGGGGTGTCACATCTCTCCGACAGGGCTGCTCATCAGGAGCAAGCTTTTAAAACTGTTCCAAGTTCTCTGTCACATTGAGACACGTTGGACTGACCCTTGTCAGGGATGATCCAGGCCAGGCGTGGTCCTGCCGTGGGGGCAGGGGACTGGACTCGACCTCGCGAGGTCCCTCCCAGCGCTAGTGTTCCACGAGTCTATGATTACTTGCACGTCTGTGTTCTGTGGCGGGTGTGACTGTGCTCCCTCTGTCTCCCCCTCTCTGCTGGTCCAGAAGCCAGCGCTGCATGGTCAGTGTAATGCACGGTGCGTGTTCCTGTGTGAATCACCTGGAGCTGATGCTGCCTGTGCTGAATTTGACTCCAGATCTAGGCAGGCGGGGTTGGTTGCCCTCGGTTTGCCAGGGTTTGTTTTCCCTCCACTCCCAGAGCTCTTTGGGGCCCTTCTCTTTTTCAGTGATCAGGGAGGAAATTGTGGCTCGTGCCTCTGAAGAGACGCTCTTTTCTGTGCGGGTGTTTTCCCTTTGATGGATGCTCCGGTGTTGAAGTCGTGTCCCATCCATGCCCCGGAGCGAAGGCTGGCATTTTAAATCCATTTTTTATTTGATTTCCCAAAGGCTTTGGAGCGGTGGAAGCGGTGGCTTTACCGGAGCAAGAGGCAGCTGCAAGTTTCACCAAAACACTTTTCCTCTCTCCTGTCTCCCTCCCCCACAAACGTGACATGCATTCGACGCAGTGGGTCTTTGCCCACGAAAGCTTATGCTCCAATAAATCTGTTAGGGTACGTCTACACTAGCCCCCAGTTCGATCTAGGGAGGCTAATGAGGGCGACCGAAATTGCAAATGAAGCCCGGGATTTAAATATCCCGCGCTTCATTAGCATGTTCCCGGCCGGTAGCCATTTTAGAGATTGACTAGCCCGAAGTAACTGCCCGCATCTACACCCGGCAGTGAAACAGGATTCCGAATTAAAGCCCTAACTCGAATTAGCTGTTATTTAAGACGCGGGTGTGACAATGTGTTGGGGTCCCCCGCCGGGGTTTTCCCGTCTCCTGCACCCCTATAGTGGCAGACAGACAGACTCCACCAGCCAGTAGAACAGAGGGAGTTTAGTTAGTTTCTGTCTGGGAGCAGGAAGGAGACAGTCTAGGGGAAGGGGCTGGAATTTAGGGGCCCAGTCTCCCCCATCTCAAGGGGGCCTGAGGCATCCTAGCCCCAGTTCCTGTAACCAGATGACATCTGTGCTGTGCTGTATCCTGGAGGAGCAATAAACTCCCTCTGTTCTACTGGCTGGTGGAGTCTGTCTGTCTGCCACTATAGGGGTGCAGGAGACGGGAAAACCCCGGCGGGGGACCCCAACACATTGTCACACCCGCGTCTTAAATAACAGCTAATTCGAGTTAGGGCTTTAATTCGGAATCCTGTTTCACTGCCGGGTGTAGATGCGGGCAGTTACTTCGGGCTAGTCAATCTCTAAAATGGCTACCGGCCGGGAACATGCTAATGAAGCGTGGGATATTTAAATCCTGGGCTCCATTTGTAATTTTGGTCGCCCTCATTAGCCTCCCTAGATCGAACTTATGGAGCACGTGGGTGGAGGGTCTAAAAATGCCGCAAAGGGCTTCTGAGCCCGTTAGTTTTCATGCCCCTCAGGGAGCTGAGGAAATGCGTCTTCCGTAAGAGCGTCCCGCGCTCCCGCCGAAGGAGGCACGCTGCAGTTGTGCTGAGGCAGGGTGGCGTATTGCCTGGCTGTTCTGTGCAGGCAACAGCTGATAAACAGGAGGATTGTGGCACACGGTGTTGAAATACTCCAGGGCAGCGTCCTGAAAGCCAGATGGGAACTGCTTGCTGGGTGGTGGCTTTTCACGGGATGCTCAGGCAGGCGGTGCTGTAACACTGAGGTGAAACAGTCTCTGTTGCGTTCAGGTTGGTGGTGGGGAGGTCCTGCTCCTGGCGTGTTCCTGCGGCAGCAGAGGGCAGCGTCCTGTCCAGAGAGACGTGCAGGGCAGCTGTGCGGGGTCGGGCGCTGATGGGAGCGGAGGGAAGCAGCCGAGAAGCACCCGGCCTGCCCAGCAAAGCCGCGCTGCCCCTGGCGTCAGGACGTGGGCGCAGAGGTGTGCTTGGAGCGCCCTGTGGACAGGAGCGAGTGGCCCCCAGGGGGTTAGGTTGTGGTTTCGGAGCACACGTCCCGGGGACTTTCCGTGGGGCGCGGGCGTCCCTGTTGTAGGCTGCTTTGGAACGACCCCCCCCCTCGGTGCACAAGGAACTCTGGGCCCAGACGTGGTCAGAAGCCGGCCCCGCAATTGGCTGGCTGCCCCATACTTGAGCTGTTGCTTCCTCTTCAAAACAGGAGTGAGTCCTAAGTGTTTATCTGGCCTCCTTGGCCTGTGGAATGTGCTCGGAAATAGCAACAGATCTGAGTGCAAACAACTTGCTCTTGGGAATTAACCTAGCCTGCCTCTTTCCTCCTCCCCACGCCGCAGGCCCCCCCAGCATCCGAGCCATGAAGAACATAACGGCCGTGGCGGGGAGGGGCATCCTTCGGGTATCCCTACTACTCCATCAAGTGGTACAAGGACGCCCTGCTGCTGCCGGACAACCACCGCCAGGTGGTCTTTGAGAACGGCACCCTGAAGCTGATGGACGTGCAGAAGGGCATGGACGAAGGGGAGTATCTCTGCAGCGTCCTCATCCAGCCGCAGCTCTCCATCAGCCAGAGCGTGCATGTGACTGTGAAAGGTAGGAGGGACCTCTGCCACTGTGCGGGCTAGTCCCGGGGTCCTGCCCGGGGGTCCTGCCACCTCTTTGAGTCTCTCGTGCGCTTGTTGCAGGGGAGCTTTCAGGCCGGGGTCTGGCGGAGCCAGCTGGCTAATCTCAGCACTGTCCTTCTGGCGCTCCTGCTCCCACACGCCCACGTGGGGTCAGAGCTGTCCCGCGTCCCTGGAGGCCCAAAGGGATGTAGAGAGTGAGAAGGGCACAGTCCTTCGGCCTCATTCGCTCGGGGGGAGAAAGGGCGACAGTCAGGAAATCCCCAGGCCACGGCCGCCTTTCCTGGCTGGGAGATGTCTGGCCAGACGCCCTTGCCAGCTGCCAGGCCAGGCCCATCCTTGCCAGATGCACAATGCGCAGCTGCTTGGGACGAGTGAAAATCCGGGGCACCGCTGGGTCTTACTGCCCGGCCAACCGCCCACTCTCCCTCTCCCTGGCCTGGGCCCGCTGCGGCCTGGTGACCAGCATGTGGAGAGGAGCTGGTCACGGTGGCAGGGAAGAGCGCCCGCTGACCCTGCTGCGCCCGAGCGTTTCGCGGGCATTTGCCAACCCCAGCGCCATTCGCCAGCTTCTGAACTCGCCGGGGGGCGACAGGACCTGCATGGAAAACGTCTCATCTCTGCAGAACCGTCATTGCCCCCCAGCCCGGGCTGCCGGGGCACCGGTTTAACTGCTCTGCGGCGGGCCCCACGCTGCTCCCGGCCCCGCACTGTCTAGTCGGCTTCGAGCGTTTCGCGGGCATTTGCCAACCCCAGCGCCATTCGCCAGCTTCTGAACTCGCCGGGGGGCGACAGGACCTGCATGGAAAACGTCTCATCTCTGCAGAACCGTCATTGCCCCCCAGCCCGGGCTGCCGGGGCACCGGTTTAACTGCTCTGCGGCGGGCCCCACGCTGCTCCCGGCCCCGCACTGTCTAGTCGGCTTCCTACCCAGGCCCAGGGCACAGCATCTCCCCCAGAGGTTGCATCTAGCTGCTGGGGGATGAGGGTGGGTGAGCCACGCAGGGCAGCCCCTGGCGTGGCTTTGGACATGTTCCGTGGGTCCACGGTCGGTTCCCCGGGGGAGCTGCCGCAGCTCCCGGGAGTGAGGTAACAGCCGCTGCCCTCTGCGCCCTGGATCCATTTCCCATTACAAGCAGGGGAGCAGGAATTGACAGTGTAAACACCAAGTATTAAAACATCTAACCTCTGCTCGGCTCACCTTCGCCGGGGCTCACAGAACAATGCGCTCCGCCTGCCCCCCGCTCCTCCAGCCCATCAATTATTCAGCCCCATTCAGGGAGCTATCAGTCCTAATGAATTGAATCTGATGCATTCCATTCCAGCGGCGTGCCGAGATTGTGTTACGAGCGGGCGCTGCTCCGGGGGGCCGCAGCATCGCTGGGGCTGCCGTCAGCTCGGTGGGCACAGCCACCCCCGGGGAGAAAGCAGGGCCGGTCTCCTTCTCCCCGTCTGGCGGAGCCGAGTATTTCGGGAATGCCCTTGGGTTCTGTGCTGATGCCCCATCCTTCATGTCCTCGTTAGGCACTGGGTTAGCAGGAGAGTGCATCCATGCTGATTATGGCTTCTGCCACTTGATTAGCCCGGACGCTCCTCTGAGGCGTAGCAAAGAGAGCGTGGGGAGCTGCCTGCTGTGGATGGCATGGGTCAGATCTGCAGACAGGGTTCTTGGGAGCCCTGCAGGCTAGTATTAGTGCTTGGGTGTCTTGGCTGGCAGGAGCTCTCTTTGTTTTGGAACAATGGATGAACACAAGCTCTCGAGAGGACAGGTTGCAGGACAGCAGTGCTTGCTGGTGCGCCCAAGTTAACGCTGCCAGGCACCTCGGCAGCTGGTCACCCGGGCTCGGGGCATCCAGGAGAGGTGCCGCCATGCACTGGGCTCTGAGGGACAGTTTGGGAGTGGGGCGGTACAACACCTGGGGCTCTGTCTGGGAGACACTGGCCTTGCTGCCTGCGTGGAATGAACCCTTAGGAGGATGGGGGACATTTGCATTTCTTCTTGTCACCAATAGACAAGAAGTCAGGGAGTCCTCGACGATCCGATAAGCCTGGACTTCTCAGGTAGCCGAGTCGACTGCCTCTGTATCAGAGGCAGTGGGGGGATAGGGAGGAGCAGGAGCCAGTGCTGGGGGGAGCCAGCTTAAAAGCCAGTTCCCCTCCGGCACCGTCTCCGCCATGCTGCCTGCTGCACCCTCACTGCTGCCTCCCTAGCAGTATTTTAATGAAGCCTGATTAAAGGCACAGGAAGAAACCATCCTGATGCACAGCAAGAAAAGCAAATATGGTCGGCAACCAGACTGGCCTACCGGGGACATCCTTGGTGAGCTTAAACACAAAAAGGAAGCTTACAAGAAGTGGAGACTTTGCCAGATGACTAGGGAGGAGTATAAATATATTGCTCGAGAATGCAGGGGAGTTATCGGGAAGGCGAAAGTGCAATTGGAATTGCAGCTAGCAAGGGATGTGAAGGGGAACAAGAAAGGTTTCTACAGGCATGTTAGCAATAAGAGGGTGATCAGAGAGGGTGTGGTAACCTAGTGACAGATGATGTGGGAAAAGCTGAAGTACTCAATGCTTTCTTTGCCTGTCTTTGCGGACAAGGTTGGCTCCCAGACAAATGCACTAGGCAATGCAGTATGAGATGGAGATAGACAGCCCTTGGTGGGGAAAGACCAGGTTAGGAACTATTAGAAAAGCTAAACACACACAAAACCATGGGCCCAGATTTAATGCATCTGAGGGTGCTGAGGAAGTTGGCAAATGTCATTGAGGAGCCTTTGGCCATTATCTTTGAAAACTCGTGGAGATCGGGAGAGATCCTGGATGATTGGGAAAAGGCAAATGTAGTGCCCATCTTCAAAAATGGAAGAAGGACAATCCAGGGAACTACAGACCAGTCAGCCTCACCTCAGTCCCCAGAAAAATCATGGAAGGGATCCTAAAGGAATCCATTTTGAAGCACTTGGAAGAGGGGAAAGTGATCAGGAATAGCCAACATGGATTCACAAAGGGCAAGTCATGCCTGACCAATCTGATTAGCTTCTATGATGAGGTAACTGGCTCTGTGGACATGGGGAAGTCAGTGGATGTGATAGACCTTGACTTTAGCAAGGCTTTTGATACGGTCTCCTACAACATTCTTGCCAGCAAGTTAAGGGAATGTGGATTGGATAAATGGACTGTAAGATGGATAGAAAGCTGGCTGGAAGGTCGGGCCCAGCGGGTAGTGATCAACGGCTCGATGTCAGGATGGCGGTTGGTTTCTAGCGGAGTGCCCCAAGGATCTGTTCTAGGACCAGTTTTGTTCAACATCTTTATTAATGACCTGGATGAGAGGATGGATCGCGCCCTCAGCAAGTTTGCGGATGACACTAAGCTGGGGGGAGAGGGAGATACACTGGAGGGCAGGGATAGGGTCCAGAGTGACCTGGACAGATTAGAGGATTGGGCCACAAGAAATCTGATGAGGTTCAACAAGGACAAGTGCAGAGTCCTGCCCTTGGGACGGAAGAATCCCAAGCGTTGGTACAGGCTGGGGACCGACCAGTTAAGTAGCAGTTCTGCAGAAAAGGCCCTGGGGATGACAGTGGATGAGAAGCTGGATATGAGTCAACAGGGCGCCCTTGTAGCCAAGAAGGCTAATGGCATATTAGGTGCATTAGGAGGAGCATTGCCAGCAGATCCAGAGATGTGATTATTCCCCTTTATTCAGCTTTGGTGAGGCCACATCTGGAGTATTGTGTCCAGTTCTGGGCCCCCCACTACAGAAAGGAAGTGGATACATTGGAGAGGGTCCAGCGGAGGCAACCAAAATGATTAGGGGACTGGAGCACAGACCTACGAGGGGAGAGTGAGGGATTTGGGTTTGTTTAATCTGCAAAGAGAAGAGTGAGGGGGGATTTGAGAGCAGCCTTCAACTTCCTGAAGGGAGGTTCCAGAGAGGATGGAGAGAGGCTGTTCTCAGTAGTGACAGATAGCAGAACAAGGAGCAATGGTCTCAAGTTACAGCGGGGGAGGTCTAGGTTGGATATTTGGAAAAACTATTTCCCTAGGCGGGTGGGGAAGCACTGGGCTGGGTTCCCTAGGGAGGTGATGGAATCTCCATCCCTAGAGGTGTTTAAGTCCCGGCTTGACAAAGCCCTGGCTGGGTTGATTGAGTTGGAATTGGTCCTGCCTTGGGCAGGGGGCTGGACTGGATGACTCCTGAGGTCTCTTCCAGTCCTGGGATTCTATGATTCTATGCTGCAACCCAGCCCTTGTTTACAGGGGGTCCCAACTCCCTGCTGGGGCCCCCGTGAATAGGGGCTGCTTCCGGCTGGGCTGGCTCGCAGGGGGTCTGGGACCAAACCCCACTGTGGCTCTGCAGTTTCAAAGGCAGTAGGAGCTGGGCAGCCTTCCCCCTGGCTCCTGTTGCGTTTTACATTGCAGAGTAGCAGCAGGGTTTGGTCCTGGACCTGGCACAAGCTGGGACTGAGCCGGCTGCCTATCGACCAATTGGATAAAATTCTGTCGACTACTCGATTAGCTAAATACCTGCTTCTTGACATCCCTCGTCCCTCCCACCCCTTCCGCTTCCGACTACAGTCTCTTGGATTGTGCTGTCGGTTTGAGCTTTGCACAACTCCTGGGCTCTGGTGGGGAGAGCTGACCCTTGTTCCCAGGTGTAGCGCGAACAAAGCCAAGCCGGCACGCTGTCGGGATTCACACGGTCCTCTCAGAGCGTCGCCCCCACCCCTAAATCTCTCCTGCTCCCTGTGAGCTGACCCTCTTTCCACTGCCCAGACACGGGGGATCTCGGTGCAGTTCCATCGCCGGGGCCGAGGCTGGCCTGGTGTCAGTGTGAGGGGGTGGGGCCGGCGCACTGCGGTGGAGGGGTGTCTGGGACGAGTGGCTGCGTTGGGAAGGGAGCGTCCCAGCAACAGAGCTCAGGGTATGAAGGCAGGTGGCAGAATCTCCTAACTTGAGACGTGCGGAGAAGGAGGCTGCCCAAAGCCCTGGGAGGACACTTCCGCAGGGGGCAGGCTGTGTGTTAGGGCCCACGGCCGGCTGCAGGAGGAGCGCTGTGTTTCGGCTAGCCCCGTTTCCGTGGGCGCGGGTGCGAGAGAGGGCCCATGCCGGTGTGGGCGCATATAGCCAGCTGCCCCCATCTCCAGAGGGAGCCATTAAAGGAGGCAAGGGCGCTGATGTGGTCCGTGGATCTGTATATTCTGGGTGCCCTTGGCAGGCAGACGCGTCGCAGCCTGGACTTACTGTCCTGGCGGGAGTCAGGGACCGGTGCAGAAGGTGGAACTCCTGGAAACGTCCTCCAGCCTGGCTGACAGGGCCTGTCTGATGGGAAGGGAGGCGCGTTTATTTCCTCGGCACCGTGGCTGCCGAGCCTTGTCCAGGACCGTAGGTGTGTGTCTGTTTTACATATTCACTGGCCACCGCGTAACAGGGAGGCGCCTGCGATACAAACCGAGCTGCCCGAGTGTATAAACGGAGACGCTGCGATCTCAGAGAGCAGCTTTTATTGCCGCAAGGGGCGGCGGCCACGTGAAGAGCCACGCGTGAGTTATGAAGGTCTTCCCAGGGAAGAGATGATCTCCGCTTTATAGCCCCCTTGGGCCTGTGCCTGGTGTGTTCCTGCCACTTTTTTTATCTTCCTCCTCTCCAGCAGCTTTTCCCTCTGGGCGCTCGTTCCGCGGGAGTTGATCCCGGGGTGCTCAAGCTAAGGGGCTCCGCCGGAGTGGTGTGACACCGTCTCGGGGAACGGCTTGGGACAGGACGGGCTCGGAGCTGTGCGTGGTGGGGTTGCTGAGAACCATTGGACCAAGCAGTAAACACTGCATATGATAGAAATCACTTCAACCCAGAAGATGCGGCAGGTCCTCCCAGCATCACTCGATCCAGCACTTCTGACAAATACCACCACATAATTGAATGCTGGGCAGCGGTCTACCCCCAAAGCAAGCAATAAATGCTTTCCACTTCTCCTGAAAACCCAACACATATTAAGGCTATGCAGCTCAATTTGTTACTGGGAGCGAGCATCTGGGATGCGACCCCCACAGGCACTCGCTCCACTTGTGAATTACCAGGCTGGGAGCTGCCTTTGCTGCCTCCGCGCGGGCGCCCCACGGGGAGCCGGTGAATGTAAAGCCCGACCCTGCGCTAGGCCAGTTAGAACACGGCCGGCACGCCTGCGGGGCTCCTGCTGGGCCTGCGTGGGTGGCGTGGCGTTCCCAGCGGCTTGGGGGGACTGCAGAGCACACGCAATTAATTATTCATTAATTATGGAAAGCAGGCGCCACTGGCTCCGAGACTCCAGCTGCTCCTCCGCAGCTGAGCTGATGGAGCAGCCGGGTGGCATCAGCTTCGGGCTGCCAGAGAGGGCGTCCCCAGGCTGGGCCGAGCCCAGCACACTGCACGGCCGCCTCCTTGGCTGCAGGTGTCCCAGGGAGGCCCTGGCCTCGGCCCTGACCTAGTGGAGAGGGGCGGGCAGGAGAGGAGCTGCCCCATGGGGGCACTGTGGGAGCCGGCTTGCGGTGGTGCTGGACTGCGGAGCAAGGCTACGCCGCGGTGCTGGGCGTCAGCCCCAGAGGGAGATGAGCGGCTCGCCCAGAGCCTCTTTGCATTTCATTTAGCTGCCAGCCTGGGGAATGATGCTGGCTTGGGCTTCCTTTCCGCCTCCCCCAAGAGGGGGCTGAGGCTACGGGAGGGAGTGGGAGCCAAGATTGCTTGGCTGGGTTTCCAGGTCCGGCATATGGCCTTAGACAGGTCACCTGCCGACCCCTCAGTCTTCCTGGTCTGTACAATAGGGGCAGCAATAGACTCACATTACTGGGGGTTGGGAGCCTTCATGGATCCTCCCACGCAAGATGCCAGCAAAAGGCTCTTAGTGTTGATGGGGCTCCACTGGGAAAGATTGTGACTACAGATTAGCTCGAAGCGGGGAGGGGGTAGCTAAGAGTGTAAGGGTTGCAATGCCAGCTCAGCACAACTGAGCAGGGGCCTGCTGGGTGAGGGATGCTCTTCGGCTTGCAGAGGGTGAGCTAGAATCCCTTCGGACATCAGTGCTTTCAGCCCACTCATAAGAACATTAGAACAGCCAGACGGGGTCAGACCAAGGGCCCATCCAGCCCAGCGTCCTGTCGCTGACAGTGGCCAATGCCAAGTGCCCCAGAGGGAGGGAACAGAACAGGGAACCCTCACATGATTCCTCCCGTCACCCATTCCTGGCAAACAGAGGCTAGGGACACCATTCCTACCCATTCTGGCTAACAGCCATTGGTGGACCTAACCTCCATTTTATCTAGTTCTTTTTTGAACACTGTCAAATCCTGATCTTCACAACATCCTCTGGCGAGGAGTTCCACAGTTTGACAGCGCGCTGCATGAAGAAATGCTTCCTTTTGTTTGTTTTAAACCTGCTGCCTATTCACTGCATTTGGCAACCCCTAGTTCTTATGTTGTGGGAATAAAGTAAATAACTTTTCCTTATTTACCTTTTCCATACCTGTCATGTTTTTATAGACGCCTATCATATCCCCTCTTACGGTACATCTAGACTGCACTGTAAAATCAAAATAAGATATGCAATTAGCTCGACCCCCCCTCCAAGAACTCTAGCAGATTAGTAAGTATGATTTCCCTTTACAGAAACCATGTTGACTTTCTCCCAACAAATTCTGTTCATCCATGTGTCTGACAATTTTTTATGTTTTACTGTCATTTCAACTAATTTCCGCAGTACTGACATTAGACTTACTGGTCTGTAATTGCCAGGATCTCCCCTTGAGCCCTTTTTAAATATTGGCATCATGTTAGGTATCTTCCAGTCATTAGGTACGGAAGCTGATTTAAAGGGTAGGTTACAAACCACAGTTAATAGTTTTGCAATTTCCCTCTTGAGTTCTTTCTGAACTCTTGAGTGATGCCATCTGGTCCTGGTGACTTGTTCCTGTTACGTTCATCAGTTTGTTCCAAAACCTCCTCTAATGACACCTCAGTGTGGGACAATTCCTCAGATATGTCACCTAAAAAGAATGGCTCAGGTTTGGGAATCTCCCTAACATCTTAGCCACGAAGACCAAAGCAAAGAATTCATTTAGTTTCTCCACAATGACCTTATCGTCTTTGAGTGCTCCTTTAGCATCTCGATTATCCAGGGCCCCATTGGTTGTTTAGCCGGCTTCCTGCTCCCGATGTACTTAAAAACATTGCTATTACTTTTTGGCTAGCGGCTCTTCAAACTCCTTTTAGGCTTTTCTTATTAGAGTTTTACACGTAATTTGACAGAGTTTATGCTCCTTTCTATGTTCCTCACTAGAATTCAACTTCCACTTTTTAAACAATGCTTTTTTATCTCTCAGTGCTTCTTGTACATGGTTGTGAAGCCCCAGGGCACTTTTTTGGGTTCTCTTACTGTGTTTTTTAATTTGGGACATACATTTAAGTTGGGCCTCTATTATGGTGTCTTTGAAAAGTGTCCATGCAGTTTGCAGGGATTTTACTTTTGTCACTGTGCCTTTCAATTTCTGGTTAATTAACCTCCTCGTTTTTGTGCAGTTCCCCTTTCTGAAATTAAATGCCGTAGTGTTGGGCTGCTGAGGTGTTATTTCCACCACAGGGATGTTACATTTTACTACATTATGGTCACTATTTCCAAGCGGTCCAGTTATATTTACCTCTTGGACCAGATCCTGCGCGCCACTCAGGACTAAATCAAGACTAGACTCTCCCCTTGTGGGTTCTGGAACCTGCTGCTCCAAGAAGCAGCCATACAAGGTATCAAATGGCGCACTCACCTCTCCCTGTTTTCCCCTCCTCTGTCCCTGCGTCCCTCCCCGAGCTGTCCTTGCTAGGGCTCAGGCGCGGAAGAAAGGAGCCGAAAGCACCGTTGTCATGTGGATCCGCTCCCTGATAGGGCTCCAGCTCTCACGGGGAGAGGTTCCGCCAAGGAGACAGTTGGCAGTCGGCCATTTTAGTCATGGTGCCTGCTGTGAGGAGATCGCATCTGACAGGTGCTGGGCCGTGTTAGGCTAACGAGCTACCGCTTGCTCTTGCCTTCCCGGCCCCCCATTGGCTGGAGGGACAGCACGCGGCTAAGGCCTGGCTTACACCAGGAAATGACGTTGGTATAACTGCATCATCGCGCCTGGCAACACACTTCAACTGAGCTCGCTCCCAGGATAGATGGCATTAGGTCAATGGAGGAGACTCGCTCTAGCCCCTGGGGGAGATGGATTACCCACGCTTCTGGGCGGATCCCTCCCTTGGCAGTAGGCAGCGTCTTCTGTGCCGCGTTCCAAGTGTAGACAAGGCCAGTCTGTAGCCAGAGCCTTCAAGAAAGGCATCAAAGGGCCTTGCTAGTGGCAAACTTTGCAGTGAAACTTCACAAGGGGGTGCCCGTCTGACCCAGGCAGAGGTGCTCAGGCTGGGTCTGATGCCTTGGGGTGTCCGTCTCCAATGCAGGCTGTGGTTCTTTGAGATGGACCAAGTGTCCGGTAGGTCCCTCTTCACTCTTTGCCAAGCGCGTTCGCAGCCTCCACGCTTCCAGCCGGGAGGGTCATCTTGGCCAAAGTGACAACGGATTTGTGCCTCGGTTGTTGCAGGAGACTCGGCATCGCTCAGTGCACAGACCCCCTCAGCCTGGGGCTATTGGGCCCCTTACAGGCATGCTCAATTGGTCTGGCATGACTGAGTGGAACCGATACGTCCCCTGCTAGTGGGGCCCACGGGGACCCTGTGTGGCCACAAAGAGCCCTGGGCTCAGTTCCCTGCAGCATGAGTGGGCGCAGCAGCTCCCCGGAAGCCGTGGGGGTTGGGCCCATTCCCCCAGGGCTGAACTTGCCCCAGCGACTTTCAGGCTTCTGGGTCCTTCTTCCAAACCAAGCTCTTGACTTGCCTTGCCAGTGCCTCCCCTGATCCAGCCCTTCGAGTTCCCGCCAGCCTCCATCGGGCAGCTCCTGTACATCCCCTGCGTGGTCTCCTCGGGGGACATGCCCATCCGCATCACCTGGCGGAAGGACGGGCAGGTGATCATCTCTGGCCCGGGCGTCACAATCGAGAGCAAGGAGTTCATGAGCTCCCTGCAGATCTCCAGCGTCTCCCTCAAGCACAACGGCAACTACACCTGCATCGCCAGCAACGACGCCGCCACCGTCAGTGTGGGAGGTGGGAGCCGGGGGGTGGGGCCAGGCTGCGGGGCCGAGGGGAGGGGTGCCGCCGAGGTTCCCAGGAAGGGAGAGGGGGAGCTGTGGGATGGGTGGGAGGCCGGTGCTGCCGAATCGGCTGGAGGCATGGCGGGTTGAGCCGAGGTGATCTCTGCTCTTTACTTTTCCCCAGTGCCGCCTCGCTTTGTGGTCCAGCCCAACAACCAGGATGGCATCTATGGCAAAGCCGGGGTGCTGAACTGCTCGGTGGACGGGTACCCCCCGCCGAAGGTCATGTGGAAGCACGCCAAAGGTAGGGGAGAGCCATGGGCTGGCACGTCAGGGAGGCCTCGCTGGCTGAGTGGCCCGATGGCAGCTGCTTTGCCTGGGCCAAGGGCGTACCCGGAGGCGAAAAGGCACCGTGACCACCCCTCTCTGCGGGTTCCCTGTTCCATGACAGGCCTTACAGGGGCTCTCCCCAGTGCGAGCCACCCTCTGGCAGTGGCCATAGCAAGGGGGTGCCAATCCGTGTCACTATTGCTCAGCTGGGATCCCACCACACCTCTTGTGCGACAGCCCATTGCACGAGGGGCCAGCCTCTGTCCTGGAGCTTTCCGGCCCTGAGGTCTCTTCCGCCCCAGCTGCTCCTGACCACGGAGGCTGCTGGCGCTTTGATGCCATTGTGACTCTGGGCATGTTTAGATCCCTCCCTCTCCTTGGCTGGCGTGGCTGTTTTCCCTTCCTTGTGCCAGGAATGGGGCTCAAGCCAGTTTGGTGCCACTTTTGCTGGTGGCCTTCATCTTTCTTTGCTGACCATGGTGGACAGTGGGGCAAGCCGGGGTCTGAGAGAGTAAAAAGGCTTGGACTTTTCAGCTTAGAAAAGAGGAGCCTAAGGGGGGGTGGGATCGAGGTCTATAAAATCATGACAGGTCTGGAAAAAGTGAATAAGGAAAAGTTATTTACTTGTTCCCATAAGAACTAGGGGTCACCAAATGAAATGAACAGGCAGCAGGTTTAAAACAAACAAAAGGACGTTTTTCTTCACACAGCTCACAGTCAACCTGTGGAACTCCTTGCCAGAGGATGTGTGACCACCAGGAAATTAACAGGGTTCCAAAAGGAGCCAGATAGATCCATGGACGTTAGGTCCATCAAAGGCCATTAGCCAGGCTGGGTAGGAATGGTGTCCCTAGCCTCTGTTTGGGTATGTCTACACTTCAGCACTACTTCAAACTAACTTAATTCAAATTAGTTAATTCGAACTAAGCTAATTTGAATTAGTGCATCTAGACCTAAAAACTAATTCAAATTAGCGTTTTGCTAATTCGAACTAGCATGTCCACATTGAGTGGACCCTGAACTGAAGTTACGGCTGGCCGGAAGCAGTGCCGGCAGGGCATCAGGTTAGGACTTAGAGTGTGGAGCTGCTGCCTCAGGCTAGCCGAGGGCTGTTCTTAAAGGGACCCGACCCCCACCCCGGACAGACAGTTCTCAGGGTTCCCCGCTTGCTTGTCTACCTCGATGAGGGACAGCAAAGCGGTCCTGTCTTGGAGTGCCCTGAGTGCCCGTACTCGGCACATCACAGCACTCGGCCATCAGCCCGGCTGCACTTGCCGCAGGCTGCCATCTGGGGGGAGTTAATTGGGGGGCTGTCAGGATCCAGGAGGCCCTGCAAGAGAGCTTCCACCCCAAGGAGCCTGCATAGCCACCCCAGTCCCCCCCATCGGGGGCTCGTGCCCCATTCCTCCCTCACCTCCTTCCACTTACCCCTCCCTACCCTCCCTTCCTGATGTAAAAAAATAAAGGACACGTGTGTTCAAAAATAGAAACTCTCTTTATTTAACAAAACTGGGGGGGGATTAACCTCTGGGGAGACTGGGAAAAGGAGGTGGAAGAG